CGCCCCTGTCGTCGCATCCGGCCCAACTCCGGCTCGCCTCGCGGAGCCGCCCAGGTCGTCTGCCTGCTTCGGCTCCGGCGGGCCGTCCGCAGCGGCTTCCGCCGAGGGGGGAAGGCCAGCTGCAGCCCCGCGGTCCCTCGAAGGCGACGGCAATTCTCGAGATGGTTTCTTTGCTGGGCCTGTTTTCCACCACCACCATAAGTTGGATGGGAAAAAAAGGAGGAAGGAAAGCAGGGATGGGAGGGTATGGAGGGAGAGGCAGTGAGAGGGGTGGGAGGGGAGGGGAGGGGGAGGGATGGGGAGAGAAAGGGATGGAGAGGAGGAGGAGGGGGAGGAGAGGGTAGGAGGAGGAGGAGTGAGGAGGAGGAGGAAGAGGGAGGAGGAGGAGAGGTGGGGGGAGGAGGACGAGGACCCCCTCCCCTCCCTTATGCACAGGGTGGTTGGTGGAAAAAAACCGCAGGCCCATCACTCTTGGGGGCGGACTTGGCCGGAGCAGGCTGCCAAGCCGCGCCGAAGAAGCTGCCAAGCCGCGCGAGGCACTTTCAAAGTTGTGCCTGCCAGTCGTGCAGATCCTATGATATTGAGCAGGGGCTGATCGTCCAGGCACTCCTATGGTCCTACCACGAGATGCTCTCAGAACTCAATTATGTTGGAATCACAAAACAAAGACAGCCTCGGCAATGATGCGTAAAAGAAAGACAGCCTCGGCAAGAAGTTGTTCTAAGAACATCTCGTGCATATAGAAATGAACCATGAGTATAGGCGAACCAGGACGCTTCGCACCTGCTTGATATGAGTACACTGCCCAGGGCACCATGCTGGACCACAGGCCTATGCCGCGGTCGTTGCGCACGCTGTGCCGGGCAAACGCCAGGAGCTCGTGCAGGGGCGGCCCCCCCGCGTGAGTACGGGCCGCCGCTGCCCGCGGTATTCGATGAGCCTCACAGCGCGTGTTAGCGCCAACGTGTGCGTATCCACCGAGGCCCTTCCATACGACGCAGGCGATGTACAGATCTGCAGCGTGTGGCTGAACGGGGTGAACACACCTTGGGCGAACGCACGTCCTGAGGCTCATCGAGGCTTGCAGAGTGGGCTTAAAAATGATGCCCTAGTCCCGGTATGACCCCTCCACAACGCGTCGGGGTCGAGACAGCTGCGGAACAGGCCGGCACAGGATAAAATTCGCCACCAGGCCGGACGGCACATGGTGGAGTGTCCTCAGGTTACTTCCGGTTCCCTGGAATTGGGTTTGACTCTTAAGCCCTGAAACCAGATGCTGCAACAACAAAATGCAACATCGTAGAAAATCACGGCCCGAGCCACAGACCCAATCTTTCTGCACCATTTTTCGAGCCGCAGCGATCTGTGAGGGTCTCAAGGCCCCAAATTAAAAAGAAAACGCCCGACTCGAAAAAATTGAATCGCCAGGATCCCAAGGAGAGTCCCAAACCGCCAACTCACGGACCTCTCGCGAGGCCCCCGAAGGAGCCCCAAGAGGACCCCAGAGGCCTAGGACCCCCAAGAGGGGCCCAAGAAGGATCTAGCCCCCAGGAGGCTCCGAAGAGGACTCTCGAAGGACCCGAGGGCCCTTCCAGGAGATCCCAGGAGGCCTCTGATCGGGTCGGGCGAAAGGGGGGGATAGCAAAGGGCGGTTTGAGAATCAGATCACGTAGCCGATTTTCCCGGCGCCTCCCGGCGCCGGGAGGCGCCCATGTATCGAGGAATGGGCCCGGCGGCGGGGCCGAAACCAGCTGCATGCAGCAGATTTCGTAACCCCCCCTTTCCCTATCCCCCCCCTGTCGTCCGGCCCGATCCAGGAGATCCCGGGAGGCCTCCGAGAACCCTTTTGTTGCAAGACTCGTCCACGGCGCAGGCACGGCGGCGGGATGGGCCAGAGGCCACGCGTCGACGCAGGGTGGCAACATGTGGAAACTGACTGACATGGAAGACGCGGGTCCTGAGGAGAACGGGTCCTCCTCCTCCTCCTCCTCCTCCTCCTCCTTCCCCTCCTCCTCCTCCTCCTTGCCCCTCCTCCTTCTCCTCATCCTCCTCCTCCTCCTCCTCCTGCCCCTCCTCCTCCTCCTCCTCTTCCCCCCCTCCCCCCTTTCCCTGGACGGCCCAGGCCCGAGCCTCCCCGCGCCCCTCTCTTCGGGGGAGTGTCGAGGAGCAGTGATGGGGCGGCGCGGGTGGGGCGCCAGCCCCGATGGCGTGGCGCACGGTAATGAGCAGTTGTGGTGTCTGAAGGGGCCCCAGGACACACAAATAAATACACACAAATAAAAATATTCCCCATATTTTCCTATATTTTCTGGGTTTCTGTCTTCCCCCCCCAATTCCCATATTTTCCCATATTTTCTGGGGAACCGAAGATTAATTGTGTCTGTGTGTTTTTTCCTCTCCTGAGTGTCGCAGACACGAGGAGGGCGCGACAGGGCCCACCCAAGTTCTGCGGGGGGATTCTGGACGACAGATAAAACATACCCCAACAAAAACTCCAAACATTGCCAAGCAAAGGGAAGTCAACAAAAATGCCCCCACACTATTTTTGGATCATGTTCGGTCACTCTTCCTGTGGAGGGACAAGCCTGGCTTAACTCTGCACGGACCCTGCCCCCGGGACTCGCTTTCCGTCACGAGTAGCTTTCTGACGGCTAGGCCACAAGCGCGGCGAGCAAAAACTTCAGGACCCGTCTCTCTCAGGACCCGTCTACCTCACCCTGAACTCCGACATTGCAACAAAAAATGAGGCATCGCGGAAAATCACGCCCAGAACCCGAGACCCCATCTTCATGCTGCATATTTGGAGCTGGGTCGATCTGTCATTGCCCCGGGGCCCGAAGCGGGACGGAAAAGCCCGGCCTGGCAACATTGCGACGCCCAGATCTCAGCGCATGTGGCGAGAAGCTGGTCGGGGATCTTCTGACCCGGGTCCGTCCAGACCCGAGTCACTCAGGCCTTGCAGGATCCTGCAAGATCCTGCACCCAAGCCCGGGTCAGTGCAGCCCTGGCACTGCAGGACCCTGCAAGATCCGGGGCCCTGGCTGACCCCCATTTAGGTTGACCCCCGTC